GATATGCCAATTTAATCATGCATTTGGAGACCCTTATTTTAAATCGTTTTCTTTCTGTAATGAGTAGAAGCACCTGATGAATGACATTGCTTATACACTATAGAGCCATTCACCCCGCAATAACAATCTGCAGCAGACCACAACAAATAAATCTTGCCAGAAGATCACTTCACCTGCCCTTAATAAAACTAATGCAGTAGGGATGAAGCCAAGGACATCTGCTGTCAGTAAATCCTAATCTAGAAGAGGATTTTGTATTTTGAGGACTGGTTGAGGGCAAGAAAAGCTTTCTGCTAAAACAATAGCAACAGAACTACTACCTAGTGCATACAAAATGCATACACAATGCACACTGCATGCAAAATTTACTTCCTTTTTATTGATGGTCTCCAAAATAGACATTTAATATTTCTTGGCCTTGTAAGCTTTTTGAAGTGTATTTGTGGTAATTACTTTGGAATAGCAAATATCTCAATAAAATAAAAGAATTTTTATTTGACAGCTACTTTCCTCTGAAACACCAATCTGTCAGCCCTTTTTTGAGTCTTTGTGAGGAATAGCAGTGCTTCCTGAAAGCTTTCTGCTATTTCTTTTTAAAACTAGTTTTGGGAAATGGAAAACAACAAATAAATGACTTATAGTTTAGGGAGAAGAAGGAATATTAGCAGTTATTCATTTAAAAGAGTTACAACTTTTGCACCAGATGCAGAACCAATACAGATAAAAAGATGCGATCATTTAACAAAACTTTTGCTGTCCCTTTGGGCAGCGATTCAAGGCTGTTTTGGCTGTTGTAAATTCTTCGGTCCTAAGACAACGTTGTTCTAACTTAGGAGGGGAACATACAGGAGAGAAAAAACAAGCTCAAACCAACGCAACTGGGGCAACTATAAAGCAACACGGTATCCGTAAACTCCATATCCCATCTCCAACCTCAAACAAGATACATTTTTTTTTCCTCTAGTGCTGGGAATTAACCCATTTAAGAGGTAAAAGACAAATAGAGAGCTGGGCAGTCTCTGCCAAGATGGGGAAATCAGAAAGACAAAGTCAATTTTACAGTAGCAAAATAAACCATCATCAGCTGAAGGATGCACCATGTCAGTCAGTTTCTGTAGCAGGTTCCACGGGATGTCAGACCCATGGGACTTCTGCATGCAACATCTTATGAGAGAGATGTGAATACAGGCTTTACAAATGGAAATTAATTCATTCTAAATAAAATACACACCATTTTAAAAAGACTGCTTGAAGGGTAGAGTGGGTGCTCACTAATATTATTGCTTTCAGATAAAACCATCCCTAAGGCAAATGTGGGGAGGTAGTCACAGCAGATACTAGGTAAATCACTGTCTAAAGTCTGACCTGGAAGTTGGAAAAAACAAATGACTCCAAGGAAGACTTACGACAAGCATCTTCGACCTAGAGGGGAGATACTTGAAACTGTCAGGAGTCTTCCCTTCCAACTAATTCGAAACAGGTCTGCTTGTTAGGTCTTAAATATAACAGGCTTCTAAGCCCAAACATTTTCACATGCTCCTATCAAGACGTGGCTGTGATAATGCCAGGAAGAATAAACCAAAAGCAACTGCAGGTTCTGTAGCCATTAACTCATTGTAAAATCTTACTGTCACCCAACATAACAGCACTCTCTTTTTTTCCTGGTCACTGCTTCTAAGGAGTCAGCACTTTTTCAGGTGGTATCTACTATGCATAGGTTTTTATTACCTCTATCTTCACAGTCATGGCAAGGCACTGTATTTCTTCTGGTTTACTCCATCTTGCGTGGCATTACTATAACATAATGCATTTGTTGTTATATGTAACTTTTCAAGAAGTATTTTTCCTACAATTTGTGCTTTTGGATATTCAGCTGTTTTTCAAAATTCTTCTCTAAAACCTAAACTCATAACATTCCAGGCCATCTCTCAGCACCTTCACTGTGCACTTTTATATCCTACTTACTGTGCATTGCACAAAGCACCGAACTGTCAAGTAAAGATGCAAATGTAAAGAATCCCATATAGGGCACCACTGGGCACATTTGGCTTGGTGCAATGGGGCTCGTACCAAAGGACATTGCACACGAGCTGAACAACACAGTCTGTTTCCCAGTAGCTTCATTCACTCTAACCAACCCTGGGACATCTCAAATGATTCTTTCTGTAAGATATATATGAAAGATAAATGTGAGAATAAAAAATGCAGGAACAAACCCAGATGAACTACATGCAGCTAAAGATCATGGAAGCTGTAGAAGATGCCAGTAGTTTGGGCCAACTAAGAGCTTAATTTTTTATGTATTATTCTCTTGCTTGTTTAGAATACGCATTCAGGTAATACTTGCATCTTTTGCTATCTGCAGAACCCTGCGGTCCCTTAATGCAGCTTTCATCTTTTTGTGATACATGCCATCAAACTATACTTCCAAACAGAGTTGTCATTAGGAAGGGAGCCTGCAGGCCCCACATTACACAGTTGCCTGGTTCATATCAATAGAAATTCAGAAAAATGCTCAACTGCTTTTAAATAGAGCTTTAATATTTTGCCGTTGAACTCATCTATGCTATTATATGAAGTCTTCTGTAGTCATCCCATGCAGCATGTAGTGAAATTTACTCCATTCTTTCCTCAAGCCAATTATAACTAGAAATGCACTATAGCATCACATCTCTCTCCCTTCAGAGAAGTTTTAAAACTCTTCTAGGATAAACTGTTCTTTAGACCCCTAGAAAGTCTGGAACTGTTTCAGATGTGGTCCAAGCTGTAGACATGCTCTTTTATTCTTGCTTCATCCACCCCTCACTGGATTCCTGTTATTCCTTTTCTTTAAGGATTATTCTTCTTTTTTTTTTTTTTCTCTCCTGTCTGCCTTGTAATTCTGATATCATTTCTCCCTTCTGTCACTCAGCAGTCATCTGCTGTGGAGTTTCAAGGCAGTCCCATGCTGACACAGGCTAGCCAGAGCAGCAGAGGCCATGAGCCAGACTCCTGGGCTGCTGCACCCTGTAGACGAGTTGCTGCCAGCTGTGTTACGTATCACACATCATGCAGGAAGCGAAGAGAGGTTCTTCCAGGAGCACATATTGTAGCATGTCTGTGATGTGTCTAGGAGCAAGCATGAAGCTGCAGCTTTCAATGCCAATATTAATTTCCTTCTCCCAGAAACAACATATTTTGTTATTCTGTGCCAGGTCTCCCAATACACAAAGTTGGCACTTGGAGAAGCACAGGAGAAATTTCAGGGAAATCAGATTGCCAGACACCCAAAAAGCTCTCCCAGCTGCCCCTGTGCATTTGCTTTTGTTTGTTTTGTCCTGTGCTGGAGCATAAATTATTACCCAATACCAGAGGAAAATCCTGAACTTAATGGTGCCAGTTGGTTGATCTAACATGGCAAATGCTCTGTTCCTCATATAAAAAGCATCATTTTCTTCTTCTAACTAAGAACACTTAACACCTATCTGTGCGTGTTTGAAGACCCAAGGAACATTTGACCTTTGATTGCATAGCACGAGGTCTTTTACTACGCTTGCTATCATCAGACTATAAAATACAGCAAAGCAGCCACTGCATTGTGCCCTGTCTCAGTCATACCCATGTTCATATAGTGAACTGCTGCTGGTGGGAGAACATAGTTTCAAGAACTTCTCCAAGACTATTTTTCACTTCATTCTTGAAGATATGTACTGATGGCCTTGGCTATTCACATACATAAAGGCACGGGCAGTGGTGCTACTTAAAATGGCAACAGGCAGCTTACAACAAAAAGCATTTTGTGCTGATATAGCATCACAATGCTAGAAGATAAAATATCCAAGCTCACATTTAGATAGTCTTAGTCTCACTTATCACCTTCCTCTTGCTCAAGTCTACACAACTTCTCACTCAGCCTACGGGTTGCACCTCGGGACACCACTCCCTCTCCTCACCAACGCACTGAGAAAACAAGCTAGCTGAAGACAAAGACACATGGTTTAAGATTTGCAGTTAAATACAAACAATTCTGAAGGTAAGCCGGGCATTCAGCAATGCAGCAGCATCTTGTGCAGCTTGGCTGAGAAACTCAGCTGGTATGCAATCATCAGAAAATATTACAGTAGCTTGAATGCTTCTAAGGAATAAGCAAGACTCAATGTTTTGAAAGGTCATGACAGTAAGTTGTAAGGAATTGAATTTATCTCACTTAGATGGATGAAAGATGAAATCAAACACAGAGCAGTGGAAACCTCTGGCTCCAAGAAGTCTATGCTAGTTCAAACTTGCTCTTAAACAATCAAACCATCTTTTGAGCTACATATTGCATACAGTATGTGATTTTTGACTTTTTTTTTTCCATTAGCCGTGCTATCTCCAACTTGTGTAACACATGCGTATCAAAGGACTGATCCTTTGATGAAACATGAAGAATTAGTTTTTCTTTTTCCCAGGCAGATTTCCAAATTATAAAATGGTTTGTGATGAAGACAGACAACATCATAATTGCCCCATCTCCTTTTTTTCCACATCTATAAAGTGACATACAACAAAGTACATACATATATGTATAAAATATGAGTACAATAAAGACAAATACTGGACAAGTAAAAAAGCAGAATGATTAATTTCAAAAACAGAAAGACTACGAAGACAGAAAACAAAAGAAGAGCCTGAGCCTCACACATTTGAGTTTTACAGCCCACAGAGCCACAGGATGGTTGAGGTTGCAGGAGGCTTCTAGAGATCATCTAGTCCAACCCCCTGCTCCAGCAGGGTCACCTAGAGTATGTGGCACAGGGTGGCATCCAGGCAGGTTTTGAAGATCTCCAGAGAAGGAGACTCCACAGCCTCTCTGGGCAGCCTGTCCCAGTGCTCTGTCACCCAAGGTGCTGTTGCCCACCCAAGAGTGGAGTAAGACACTGGTAATGCACTTGGCTTATCAGGCTCCCTGTGTACAACTGAGGAAAACAGATCATTCCTGGATGATCAAGCCATGCAAGAATACATGCAATAATTCTTACCTAAAGCTTTCTGGGTATTCAGCAACAGCCATATTGATGACATCCAAGGCATGCTGATAATGTTTCTGAGCTGAAAAGAGGAGGGCCAGCAGATGAAGAGAATTCATGTCATCTTTGCACAGTCTCAGTGCTTCCTGAAGATGTTCTATAGCATCAGAAATCTGGGAAAAGGGGCAGAAATACAGAGAATCATTTTTATTTCAATCCTACATCAGATCCCACTCCCAAAGGTGAAACAAATATAGTCAATAGAAATTCTGTAGAAATTTTAATGAGGCATCTTATGGGAAAGGATTTTGTTAGTATTTGAACAGTTTGCCAAAACTAAAAGTCTGCATTGCTTCAAAAAAACCCCACACATTCTAAAAAAAGAAGTCTGCAGCATTAATAAATCACAGTTCATAAACAGGAGCAGCCGACCTGATGCCTTCTTCCCCCTCCTACTTTGACGTGGTGCTCCTATGCTGTAAACAGATCCACTACGCAACTCGAGTTCTCAACTCCATTTTCTAGGAAAGGCAGCTGCCTCTTCACCTCGGTGACAGCACTGCACATTTCTGCTCCATTTTGGGTTTTGTGATGGCTGTACAGGGACTTGCATGATGTGGATCAATAAAATAAAAACTAAGTATGAACACCAAGTGCAAAAGAGTCAGAATTCAGAATGCTGTCAGAAAAAGAAATGTCTTTCCTAGCAGCTAGCTAAAGAGCAGCCCTGACACTCATGGCAGCAGCATGTCATTAGAATCAAGTCCCACCTGGCAAAAAGCTTAACAACTATAATGAATGCAAATATACCTATTTAGGCTGCTTATTCAAAAGGGAAGTTCTTAATAGTTTTTTTTCCCTCCTTTGGCTACCAGTTTTATACAGAGAATTTTCTTTTTAAGACCCTCCAGGCTCTGAAATCAGTCCTAGTTAAAGTATTCCAGGTCTACGTTTCCTCCTGGAAGCCTGAGGCAAACAAAACCAAAAAAAAGCATATTTTTTTTCATAACTTCCTCCTCTCTCCTTCCTTAAGAGGTGCAAAATGCAGTTCCTTCTGTCCTGCTATGAGGACTTCCCACCTAGCAAAACCCTTCTCTTCAGATCTTCTCCGGTCTTGGCATACCACCAGTGTGGAATTCCCAGGGCGTCCACAGATCCCACTGGGAAATGGTTTGCACGCTGCAAAGGAGAGAAACAAGTAGCTGCTATGGAGTTGGCTGATCCCAGGTATACTTCTGGGAGCGGGGTCCATATGACTTTTAACTCTTATTGTGCACACTCATACCAAGGTACTTAATTACACTGGTCCTGCTGACTCTAAGTCTGGCGATAGAGGCGACTGACCCACAGACTAACCCCAGGCTGACATCTAGCCCAAGCTTCCAAGCTGCTGCATATCCTGGCCTACGTTCAGGTTCGGATATGTGACGGAGCTCTCAGCTTCAATGAATTACTGCTTGTCAGCTGAGCTGCTTGAATCAACCACATGTGTTATTACAGTCTACTGGGAGAGTAAAGTAAGCACATCGGCTTAAATCACCAGTGCTCCCTCAGCAGCTTCCTAGGATATTTTCTGTACTTTTATTGCTATGTCAAAAACACAAGCACTGACAAGATAACTCAGAATCAGCACAACCTACAATTTCCTCTAGTTGACCCTGCTTTGGGCAGGATTTAGACCAAATGATTTCCAGTGGTCCCTTCCAACCTCAACCACTCTGTGATTCAAAGACTTAGAAAGATAATCCTAATTTGCTAGTATAAATCAGATGGAAGAGTAGTATTTGCAATTGGTGTCTTTACTGCAGGATTTATAAACTGGAAGGCTACTTGACCTGATTTGCACTGTGGGGTCTATATACAGGTAAAATGGCTGTTTGATGATCACAGGACTGTAAGTTCACACTCCCAAGAGGGCAGCTGGCAGCAGGCTCTCACAGAGGTGCAGTGGGTATGAAGTGACTTAGCACAAAGTCATCGGTGGCCACTTCTGCAAACTTCTGCCTCATAAACAATCATATGCTGTTGAAATGGGTATAGTCTCAACTATTTTTCCCCTGTTCTGTAGCATAGGGCTTTCAACAGTCTCATCTCATTTCAGTGCTGCGAGACAACACTTCACCCCAGTACCATCAGATTACCAGAGCCACAAGTGGTGGCTGTTGTGGGAAGTTAATCCCTCTTCCCTGACACCCAACCACTTAACTTGAGCCCGAGAAGATTTCTCAGTGTTGTTAACACCATTAGTAGCCTACACTGAGTTCTCCTTCTGCTGCATAATTAGAAGCAGAGGACAAAACACAGAAAAACTATCTTTAATAACATAACAACACTCTATTCCTTTACTGGAAGCATTCTACAAATCAACCTGCAACAGCCCAGATGAAACAAAGCACTAACCAAATTTCTAGAACAACAGAAGCAAGATATTTGGCAGCAGTCAATGCAAGCTTCTTCTGAAAAGCAGAGATCAACAATCTATTGCCACGGTTTATTTATTTAAGTAGCTATGTAACATGAGAAAGATGGATGGTGGCAGCCCAGATGGTACTTTGAAACTCCAGGGTTGTATCAGAGGTAAACTGCCAGCTTAAATTCCCTACAAGCACTGGGCTTTAAAGTAATCTTATTTCAGCTGGACCACAAATCCTAATAGGGCCTATAATATGAAGATGCTGCTCTTCTCCAATTCATCTTTCTGTTAATGAATGCTCCATTAGTGTTCTGCATGCCTCACAGGTATATTATTCAAATCATGCTGCTTAAGAAGCAAAGATATTGCAATAAGCCAGAATTACCACCTTGCAGCATTATCAAAATAATGGCATAGTATGGATTGTTTGGGATGCTGCCTCTTATGATAGAAATTATTTTGACAATGTTATATGTTTCCTTTCAAGCAATGCTGGGATGTTACCTTTGTAGATGTAAAAAGGAAAATTGTATAAGCATTAAAGAAATCACAATATTGGAATAAATTTGCAAATTTAGAATAGTAAATGAAATAATATTTAATAGGCAGTGAATCTAAATGAGTTTTCAAGCCTTTTATTAAAAATGAACTGGGAAAAGCTTCCATTAAAAAACAGACTTGCAGCACACCATCAGCACTTGTGACACTGTCATGATTTAAGCTCTTATTTAATTCCTAGTACAAGTTGCTTTTGATCACCAGAAAAATCCAGGCCAGGACCTAGACAGAAAAGCTGCATGTTGATGGCCAGTAGAAGAGGGACTAGTTGGTCTGGAAGACAGACCAAACAGAGCTATCCACACCCAGCAGCCACTGAAGGAAGCATCTCTTGGTATATGTCAAAACCAAGTTCCTCTCCTAGGGCAAAGACAAGACAATAATCTCTTCTCCTTGCAACCAGCATAAAAACTGTGGAAGAAAGAATGAAAGATTTTCTCTAATGTTCTTAACTAGTGTTTATCTTGTTTTCACATGCAGGCACTTGGGAAGACAGTAGCTGTTTTTTGGATATTGCCACTTGAAACTTCTAGTCCTGCTGGCAGCCCACAGATGAAATTGATAAGTGAGACCTCTAATTCTCAGCTGCTGGCCTCTGGCTGCCTTTCCCCTCCTATTTTCATGCAAAGAAAGGTCAAATCAAACAGCATTACACAAGTTTTAAAATGGTAAGAAAACTCATTTATTGCTTTCACCTCTCTGATACTAGTTTGTACGGCATTCAAAAAAGGAAAAAAAAAAAAAAAGTAAAAGGAATTATCACTTGAAACTAACAAAAGCTCTGACTCTCTAGAGCCATTTCCATAGAAACCGGCCTGCTAAAAAACAAGGAAACACATTAAAGGCAGTGAGCTTTAAAATGTTCGTTCTACTTTGTTTTTGCCGATCTAAATGCTGTTACCACAGAAACAGGAGGAGCAGCAGAAGCAGCAGCCGGGGGTTGGAAGTCTCATTTGTCAATCAGCTTGGCTGGTGGCCAAGCATCGATAAGGGCCACAGCAGATACTGACCTTGGCCTGGCGGCACTTCAACTTTGGGGGAAAAATAAAGGGAGACCCTCCTTACAGAAGAGGGTATTTCATACTCCTCCATATTTTGGTTAAAAATCCACTCTAAAATGCTGTGGGCTGACTCAAGTCCTTCCAGTGAGATCAGTAGTCTTTGAGACACAGCACCATGGGTGTAAACACAAGCACCTAGCTTAACAACATCATCTCTTACGTTGGTTGTTAATAGCATTCAGCCATTACCCCGGAAAAACCTTTTATAACCATCCATCCCTCGTCCCTTCATGTTCTTGTCGTGCCAGAGCAGAGCTCATGCTTTTCTGTTACCCCCTCTCCTTGCTGCCCAGTGTTGACAGAGACAAGAGGTATTGGAAATATTTTACAGAGTCTTCCAAGAATGAAGAATTGCTCAAGCTCTGCTTGGCACGCTAGCGGCCAGCTGCCTCTCTCGCTTTGTTCTGTGAAAACGCTCTTATCTGTGCAAGCTGATACCTAGATTTTTCAGCGTTGGCTAAGGTACTTCATCTGTTGATCTTGACTATGGAAACAAAAAGGCCTTTTGTTGAGCAGAATATTCAGTCATTATATTATAGCCTACTGCATAGCAATGGCCTGATTTGCCAGTGCTCCTGCACAGCCCGTGAAAGCCCTGGGACATTCAATAGTTAAGGCAATCTATCAAAAAACAGAGTATCATTTATCATCTAGTTAATCAGAAAGAGAATATGTTTGATACTTTAAATAATTAAGGATATTAAAAATGCATTACCGAATGTTTATCATTAACTAAATTGGTAAAAGAAGAGTAGGCTATTTTGCAGCAGTCTAAAAATAAAGATGTCTCAGGTATCTCCTCTCTCTCCAAGCATGCGTTAAAGATTTATATCGCACTCGATGGCGAAGAGGAGCAGCAGCACAGCAGGGGTCAGACCGATTTTACATCACACACGGTGCTCACACATCTGGGTAAGCAGGGGCACAATGTAAAGGACAAAAATACCCAGGTGACAGAAGAGACAAAGGAGAAAGTGAACACAAGGACAAAAGACTGAATGGAAAGAACAGGAGGGCACGGAAATGATGAAATGAGACATATGGAACAACACTGTTAGGACACACATCAACTGGGGAGAAAGGGGAATGATTTAAAATGCAATGGACCAATGACAGTGAAAAGGGGAAAGGAGTCATGACTCCAAAATCTTTGTTTTATTTTTAGAGTGCTAGTCAAAAAGCTGCAAAGCTTTTATACTCATGGCAATGAGGAAAAGAGGCAAAAGCTTAGAAAGAAAGAGTGGAAGCTGGGCATTTTTAATGCAAGACCCTGAACACTCATAAACCAGCCAGCAGGCTCATGACAAAGTTAAATAAGCCATTTTAATTATCCTTTCTTATTGCGGGCTTCCTCACAACACACTGCTGTAATTACGAAAGGGTTACAGAAGTGACATTATCAGGAGTGTGCTCTCTTGGAACAATTAGTTTAGTCTAATGAACAAACAGCTCCCCTAATTAGCTCGGGAAAGTGAGAAGGATCCAACTGTTCGACTCTGTGGTTTAGATTAAGGAGAGAAGACTGCAGTGAGCAGAAAGCCTGCCAAAGGAGGAGAGTAAGATGATGAAATTTCAAATCTATCTAGAGAAGCAGTTAATAAATAAGGGCTGTTCTTACAAAGCCTCTAGCTTTTAAAAGGGACAGATTTTTTTTTAAAAAAACATGAACCCACAGTCCCAATTTTCTTAAGTGTAGGGTATTTACAAACTGGTTTAATTTTTATGACTTACCACCTGCAGGAGCACTCAAATGCCAACTAATCCCACTCCCTGGCCAGTTCCAGCACTTGTCAAAGCCTAACACTGAAGGCACCCAAGTATGGAAAACCAGTTCCAAATGCAGCTAACATGAGATCCAGTGCCTTACAGAACCGGGAGGTAACAGGACAGCCTTTGGAGCGGCCTGCGACGGGACCCAGCATGAAACCCGGTGAACAAGAACAAACAGCTCTCACTCAACCTACCCTTACACAATTGCTCAAAGGGGGAACAGCCCTACTTAAGAGTCCGAGCTGAATTTATACCCTGGGGAAGGCCGTTCTCCATGAGGGCCACACATGCTGTAGAATTACTGCTTTAAATAAAAAACCTCTGTGAATATATTCCGCTTGCTACCGATGACACACAGGAAGGAAGGGACCCTGCTTAGCATGGCTGGTTCTTGCCCAGTGTGACTGTCATTCTCCCAGTCTCTAATTTTTGCACGTACCTGCCTGACAAGAGCCAGCTGCAGTGATATGTAGAGGATGATCTGATGATCTTCTGGCGCCAAGTCATGTGCTCTTTACAGACAATCACAGAAAACAAAAAGAGAAGTGACTGTTAGACTGTACTTTCCAGAACCCCTTTGCCATGAGTCATGCACAAGCACAGAACTAAACCTGGTCCTTTTACACAGAATGCTAGACCAGTGGTAGGAGAGCACATCAGAAAACATCAACACTCTGCTGGCTAAGCCAGGCTCACAAAAGCTGGGATAGGTATAAGAAACACAACTGTCAGGATTTTATACAACTTCAATGCTAATTCATTAAAACAATGTTTTAATGTTTTAGGATTTAGATTTCTGATGGAGAGAAAGTAGTTCTTATTTTATGATACAAGCCATATAAGGCATTGTTTTAAATAATTTAGGACAAAGAAAACAGTTGTCCAACCTGTTTCTATATTGCACTTTTAAACAATCAGAGAAGGCTGGGTTGGGTAAGAACTAATCATTTCTGCCCTTATTGTGATGACAACTGTCTAGAAGATTAAGATCAAAAGTGCACGATGCCAAGTCATGCCCAAACATGCAAAACATCCCCCAGCCCACAGCATCTAGCGTAACTGCTCACAGCAGTCTTCTAATTTGGAAGAGGCAGATGCCAAGAGAAAAGTGACAACTTGATGGTCAGGAGCTGAGCCTGGACCAGAACAGGGGCTGGCTTCTCCTAACAGATCACCCTAGGTCTGTCCTAAGGTCTATCAGATGTTACCTTCTAGTCCACAGCAGGCAGCAGTGAGGTCTGCAGAGAACCCTTGGCTAGTGCAGACTGCAGGGTCTGCAGGAGCAAATGCAGAAGTCCTTCCTGAAGGCTGGCACAAGGCACAGCGCAGGAAAGGGCCGCAAAGGCAGAGCTGTCTCTCGCAGCAACCCCGCTTACCTCAGCTTAGGGTGAGCATGAGCCTGGAGCCTGAGCTAGCGAGCCTGGTGATAAGCCCTGAGCCAGGCTAACACAGAAATGGGGCTTCCTGGACTTTGCTAGAAGCTCTGTGGGGCACTTGCTGGTGCCACTCAGGCAGTCTAGCTCAGGGAGCACAGGACTGTCCCTTTGCTGATCCATGGAGTGAGTTGCTGACACAGGGAGCTCACCCCTGGCTCCATCTCAGAGCAAAGTTTTTTCACAAGGGAGAGGAGGGGAAGAGGAAGGTCCCTCACATCAAAGAGATGTTCCTGACCTTGTTCTGGGCTGCGTTCCAAAGCAACAGAGAAGACTGCACCTGCACTGCCCTGCCCAAAGCATAAAGTCAAAGACTTCATGAGGGAAACATAAGAGGTGAACAAGGATGGTGTTTTAAAATCCTGCCAAAACTATTCATTCACCAATTAAAAAAAAAAAATCAGACAGTTGCTTCAGGAAACAAAACATTTTAATGGCAGCCACCTCTCAACTGTAATCTTGTCATCTGAGTAAGAAGCTGTTGGATTTGATGCTAATAATTAATGGCTCTAGAATTAATTAGTTTAATATGGACTGTGGCCTATATCTCTACAAGTCAAGATATCACTCAAGGGATTCTGAAGCAACCAAAGACATCCAAGTGCAATTAGTATAGGCCAGTCACTGTTTATGCTTCTTTAAAAAACACAAGATAGCTTTGCCCTGAGCTGCTGGACCTGAGGGAGCTGCCTCCTTGCGAAGCAGCTCCTGGGAAACCTCTTGCAGCCTCTCCAACAACAAGCAAAAAGAGAGAGGACACAAGGGGGATGGGAGCAGAGACCAAGAGAGTCCCTTCAAAAAGAGACCAAGGGTCGTTGCTTTGCTCTGCAGCGTCCTCAAAAGAAAAATATTTGATCCAGGCTTGCAGCCACATATTATAAAGGATAGTGACAGGCCAAACTGTGGCTTGAGAGATTCAATGTGCACTTTAAAAAGAGGGTTAAAAAAAAAAGAATTAAAAAAAAAGGAAAAGACCAAAGCAAATGCAAGGATATAGGAAGACACTCTTAACCAGCTCACTGTCATGATATCCCTGTTGGCTGAAGGCTGAGTGCCTAATGTTTGCCTAGAAGCTTGCCTGCCTCCTGGCTGGAGTTAAGATACCGAGAAAATAAGTCCCAGCCAGTGGGAAAGGTCAAAGGATAAAAATAAATGCAGTCTAAAAGCAATCCAGCATCGCAATTACATTAAAATTATGCAGTAATCAAGATATTGCACTGGAATCCAGAAACTTGCACTACTTAAAGCATACTTCTACTCTGAAAAATGATTTTTTTTTTTGCTTGTTTTAAATCCTTCTGATCACCATAGGGGAAATAACCGGAATCACGTCTTAACATGTTCAACCTGCTATATCTGCACAAAGCCACTGAATATATGAAATTCTTCCTAAAACTTTGAGATACCAGGGATCTCAGTTTTTCTTTATTTTTGCCAATGCATTTTTGCCAATATTGAAAACAGAATTAGGTACCTCAGCCCAAGACTTAGATCATCACAGCTTCTGCTTAGTTGACATCTGAAGTCTATAGGCACCTGCATTTACACTGTCAACTACCCAAACATCCAGGCCTTAGTTGCAACAGAGCCAGGAAGTTCCCACCTGGCCTCCCAAACACACCAGAATCACAGACAGGGTGTTTGATCTCACGTTACTTAAGGACTTTTACCCAAGGTAACTATAATACCACAGGAGTTTAATTCACAGATACTTTCAGGGCATAACTATTGGATCAGATTCCCCACACATACAGCAGCAGAGAACAAGAGCACAGTAACTCCTTTTACTGCTAGCTCCCTTCTGAAAGGGAGCTCATATAAATATTCACTAGGACAGTGCTCAGGACCCATATCTCCTCTCCTCCCAGCAGGACAGGGCATTGATGCCAGGTTACAGAGCAGTGCTCACGGCATTAAAAAAAAAAAAAAAAAAAACAAAAGGTAAAAAATAGATTCACTGGACTAGAGGCAAAATACAATTCCTTCCAAAGAAGGAGTGGAGCCCGTTCCACGCCACGGCAGCCTACATCCTGGTGCAGAAGGCATTCTCATACTATGGCTCCACGCTTCCCTGGGACAGAAGTGGAAACAAAACCAATATCCCACATTTTCCGGCTGACACTTTGTAAGGGAGCTGCTACTCCCAGCACTGCAGAGCTCGCTGTGCCGAAGTTTTATTTCTTTTGTAGCAAGCAAGGTATTTTCTGAAACTTACTTTGGACATTCAAACCAAAGAATGAGTACATTTTGACATCAAAACCTTTGAACAGTTTGGACAGACTATTGCTGGAATCTACAGAATGGTTTTAGGCAGAAAATAAAACATTTAGCAAACAATTACCTTAGATTCACCCAAATAAATAAATAATGCAAGTATCAGCAAGATTCCTACTCACCTCTCCAAAGTCTTAAGTGCTTTCTTGTTTAATTCATCCTGAGCGCCCTTCAGGGTAGCTGTAGGACAAGATTCAATGTCATTTAAGAGTTGAATTCAGTGTTTCAGATTAAATAAATTAAATAGCTACACATCCACAGAACATTTCAAACAGGGCTCATAAAAACAGTACATGCCTGGTGGTATTTATATTCACAGTACAAAACAGTATTTTATTGTAATTTTTCAAATTATTTTATTTTTTCTTATGAAAATCTCCTGATTCTCCTACCTGATGTGTTAAAAGCTTTCTATTAACATATGCCAGTACAGGGCTCTGGGTGGAGAAGGGGATACAGCAAGAACATAACAATCTCTCTGCCAAGTTGGTTTATATGCTAAAGGCAGCAACCAGTAGAATATTCTGACTCAGAAACTGCCTGTCTTCACCACCATCTTCATGTAGGAGGGTACAGCAGGTTGAAGAGGGACAAACAGCTTTATGGCAAGCCCCACTGCAACACAGCATCTCTGTTAACATTTCAACGAACTTTTGGGTGTTGCTTCAGGTGTAGCATTATCCACTAATGCCTGCTTTGCTATCTCCAATTTCTTGACTAATGATCCTGCCTAAGCAGCCTAGGCTCACTTCTTAATATGTGAAGTAATTCCAAGCCAAAACCATAAACAGGCTTGGTGAAAAGGCTCATCAGATTCTTGATGTGCCAGCATGAGAGTGTCACCATCATCAAATGCAAGGGAAATAGAGGAAGAGCTTGGAGAAGCATGCTTTTCTTGGCTCTGAAATAGACTGGAAAAGAAACAATGCTGTTCAGAAGTACATGGGCTAGCTCCTTGTGGTTCTTATTTTCTAAGACTTTACACAGCAGTTGTTTCTTGTTCTACCTATCCCGAGCTTGAGAGCTACTGATCAACAGCACAGAGTAGCAATGAGTAGAGAGTCCAACTGTGAACAATCTGCTAGGAATCTATTGCACTTAATGTCTCAAGTCAATGGAAGCTTCAGAAAACAAAGTGACTGAGCAGTATATATTGAAGAAATAAAACCTGATAAAATCAAGCCTTCTTTAATTTACTGAGAAGCTGAAACAGTACTCTTCTAGAAAAGTCATACAAAGTTTCTTTGAATTTTATAACACAGTAGTGAGTGAAACTTTGAAATTAATTTATTTTTGCCAAAGTGATCTGTCCTTTTTCATTGCTAGGCCTTCCAACAACTTTTTAAAACATGAGTTTCACTTTGGAGGAATAACAGTATTTGTTATTTCCCAAAACACAAAGATCAAAAATTGCTTATGCCATAAAGTCCATCCTAAATAGTAAAAATCAGACAAAAGATGGTCAGTTTAGAGAAAAAATTTGAAGACATAGGCTTTCATGCAAAATGCAGCATTTAAAGAAGTAGTCGGTTACACTTCACTCTCAGTAGCCTTAAACTCATTCTTCAAGTCCACTGCCAAATACTGAAAAGAAGTAACAGAGAAAGTAAACTTAGAGAAAAAAATAAAATAATTGAGATTGTCATTCACATAAAAATGCTTGAAGAGACACTGGAAAATTTTTGATCTTAGCTATAAACATTCATCCAGAGAAATATGTCGGATTTTGATCTTACGGAAAGTAGGAGATTCCTTATGTGGGTTACACAACCGTTTTGAGGATGCCATACAATGGGGAAGACAGAGATTTTACTGTCTCTCCCCTGTCCATCAACAGAAAGGAAAAGCTAGGACAACTCTCTGCTCAACGAGACTTCTGACTAAAGGCTGTTTGACTTGCAGACTGAGAGTAACAGTAAAAATATGTTGTGGAAACAGCAGCGATATTCTACAATTACAGTCAACTGCCTCCTTGTGGCTGGGAAACGAGTGAGTGCCACCTCTTATGGACGATATGAACCACTTCTTCAGCTGCAGCTGAGTGGGAAACCTTGCCATCTGTCTCTGGATTTGCATCCGACTGAGATAAATAGGTTAAAATTTGAGTTGACAATATTGAGGACTGATGCTCCAAATTAAGCATGCCATTTGCACAGTAAGGGCCTTCCAGCTAAAAGAGATAAATTTAGGGAGAAGGTTAGGGGAACAATGAGATGTGATTTGGGAAGAGAATTAAAGAGATGGCAGGCTAACGAGATGACTGAGAAGGTTCAGTGGATGCATGATTCAATTTTAATTAAAAAAAATAAAGAGATCAAAATGTGCTTCAGCCTCACCTGAAGAGCTGTTGTAATTTTCTACCAGTCTTCATGATAGATTCCAAGTGGAAAGTCATAAATAGAACAGGGGAAGAGGTTATTTGTGGAGAGCAATCCTAAGTTCTCTCCTCTATTTTAAAATGGAAAATCTATCCTTCTATACAAAATATATGACTGCAAGAGAGCCTGTGCCATGGTTCATTGCCTCAGCATGGAAAATAAATGCTAAAATGAAATACTGAAAGACAGGGAAGCTGAATTGGGAATGTCATTTTTGAAGAACTCTGCACCTTGCACATCTAGCTAAAAAACAGCCAAGTGCATTTTTAGCAGAAATTTTGTAATAGTTAAGTACCAAGAAAGTGAAAGAATAAAAATAAATATATTTGTAAAAAATAATATATCTGTAAGTGTATCAAGAATAGTAAGTTGAACTAGTCAATAGATGGGAGTTGTGTTTATTGCAGTTGTTTGGGTTCTTCCCCCTGGTTTCCTGTCCCTGAGAATTGCTAGGTCTCTATCATAGGTAACACAAGCGTATATTTGAGGAACAAATATAGCAGTGATATGACTCATTTTGTTTAGTATTTGTGTTCTGCTTTATAAAACCTTGTGCAAATTCCTCCTTCCTTCCACCTCCCCACATTCTCTCTCCTCATCAGAATGATACTTTTTTTTTCCTAAGTAGTTGCTTGTTTACTGTTTTGAGCCTCTCTTATCTTTCTGTGGGTAATAACTTGGAAACTTTAGTCTTGCTCAGAAACTGTTAAATCAGTTAAAACTAGCACTGGCCTGGAGAAGAGAAGATTGAGAGGGGATCTGTTCAATATGTACAAACTTTTCAGGTTTCCCTTAAAGATTTGAGGGACGGGACGCACTGAATCAGAGACTAGCAACAGGAAAAAGGGAAAGCAGATATTCCACTGTTTCATAACATAAATCAGATACTAATCTGGGTAAAAAAATCCAAGGCAATTGTTGTGAAGACTGTGTACTTCATATTAAAAAGAATACTTATTATGACATCCCAACCAATCTCTTGAAAGCTCAAGGAAGACTTATCTTCCAGAAGAAAAAAAAAAAAGAGAAAGTTTATGACTCAGATTTTTTTTGGCCCAAGTGCTTAAAGATCCGGAGTACAACACAGACCTCTACAACTCCATTCTTTAGAAATGCTCCAACCAAATTTTCCTACAGGGGACAATAACTTGCAATGGGGTTAACACACAAAACCTCTCTCTGAAAATAGTGTTTGGGAATTTGTACAGCTTTAGAAACAAATTAAACAAAATCTAAGCAAAATTCCCTAAGGAACTAAGTTGTTGACCAGAACTCAGTGTTTAATGAATTAAAACAAACAAACAAACAGGCCCAGGCTAGGAAGGACACACATTTCTTGATGTGAACTTCCCAGGGAGAACTATACTGAGGCAGCGAAATGGAGAATCAAAGAGAACTGCCTGGCTGAAAACATGCCGTGAATTGCACTACTGCAGAGCACAGTGCACGTATTCCTCAAATACATGCCTGGGAGGTGTTCGCTGTAACTTGCAAGGCCACTGCACTGCCACAATACCACGCAAGTTGTCACTTTACCTTTGTTTCAGGCTCATTAGCTGGAAGAAGGAAACACTCAACAGAGAAACCATTTCTTGGCACAAGGGAAGAATTGCCACACGTGATCAGGAAACAAACTAGTTCAGCCATTGTTCACAAAAACTACGTTAGAAGGCGGGTGTTAGAGCCCCAGAGAAAATAAAGGCTGTTCCCAGCTGTGAGCTTGATGAAAGTCAGACCTAGAAGTCTTCCAAACACTGAGACTTCAAGACCTTTAGGCTACCAAACACTGAAGCTGCAGGAACCCATTGTCCAGTCATCAAAACCCAAGATATTAACATTAAAAAAAAATCTATTTTTTTACATTCAGCGGTTTGTATCTACTCATCATCCATGGGTACCACTAGGGGAGATATTTTTATCTTGTTTATTTCTAAGCGGAGAAAAACTGCATCACAGAGAGGTTGGATCTCTGTGGGGAATCAGTATCATGCCAAGAACTGAAGTCAGGCACATCTCTCTCCAATTCTTGGATTGTATTTCCTTATGTGATTTATGAGTGGGTAATAGAAATATGAAAATAAATGGAAAGTTCGACTGACTGTTGTGTAAATAAGTGAAAGAAATGTGTTAAAAACATTCAAGTAAAGCATACAAGAACTGCTGGCTATAAAAAGTTTAACATCTCCTAAGTAGAGATGTTTTGGGCTTTTACTTTACATAAAGACTTTGCCTTTATTAATAAGGAAGATGGTTTTCTGAAATAAAGTGAATAGTCCCCCTTTACCTTGTGATCTGATTATTATCCTTGCCTGGTCACTGCTAGAAGTTTCTAATAAAATTCCACTGCTCGAATACAAATGCTTTCCAAAATGTAGTTGATAAACACAGCAACTCACCGTCAGTAGCTTGAAGACTGTATGTGAGGCCCAATGCCAGGTAACCCTTTGCCAAGAACTCTCCTGCATCCTCGCCCAGGTCTATCACCATTTTAGCAAAGTGTTCTCCCTCCTCCAGCTGCAAAAGAAGGTAAGATGAAAATTATAGGTATTTCCACTATATTTGCTTCAATAAGGTTAACTCTCTTATATTTGTGAGCCAGTCTTTAGAGGGCTTTCACGCTAATCTTTCACAGAAAGGAGGACATACAAGGCTAGATTATCAGACCTTAGCTCCCCCACAGTTTTAATAAATGTTCTTTGTGTTTAGCTGTCTACCTCAAACCATTTCCAAATGTTTAAGGTGAACGAAGGACCTGTATCTTATCTTGATACTTCACTTCCAATCACGCTATCTTCAATACACAGAGTGAACCAAAAACCTACTTACTTACCATCCTGACCGTTCACTGACAGGTCTGACAGGAATCTTCTTTGAATTTGCAATTTTCTGGTTTTGCTCTAAAATGTTTTTAAACCTTAGCAAACATTAAGAGAGTAGAACAAGAAAGCACCTCGACGCAGGCTGAATTCAGCTGTCACTTGCAGTTCTGCTGTTACAGGAAGGAGGCAGCAAACTCAGGACCCAAATTCTGAATCAAAATACCGCATGACCTGTAAGCTGGTGTACAGTAGGCATCCTTGCATCTTTTGCAAGGATACAATCCTGTTGGGGGTACATAAGCATTTTGCACCACCGATCTGAATAGAAACAGCCTCCAAAATGGTAAAATATAGCCTGCCTCTTCTATTACAGAGCAGACTTGTTCTTCTAGGCTTCCTTTCCACCTGCTCCAGACTTAAGCCTAATAAAAACACAAAGCTTTAGCACCTTTACAATCATTTTGAATGTTAATTTCTAACCAAAAATAAGTTAATTCTTCTACTATATGACAGATTTTATTTCTAACTTAAATTCTCATTAACATCACTCACTGTCTGTAAGTAGAAAACACTAAGACCGGGAGGCTTTAAATATCTCAAAGGGCCTAAATCAGAGGTAGAGATGAAGGCTGCAGCCAATGCTTGAAAGATCCAGAGCCTGCAAAGGCTTCACTTGAGTGCAAGATGGTCTGCAGGTCCTGTCAGCCACAGCCAGCAGCCATCTCTAAATAAGAACCAGACAACATTACGCTATCTCAAAAACCCTATTTTGGAAATTTTTGTTACAAGGTGATTCATTAGCAAAGGGTTATTTTGTTCTGAGGTGGCGTGGTTTTGTTTGGAATCCAGTTGTTTTAAATGCAAGTACTGCAGACATAACTGAAATGCACTGTCTTAATACTTAGATTGTCAGACTCCAGAGCCTAGTACTTTCTTAATACCTAAAAGGAGTCACCTGTAATGAAGCCAAAAATGTACCAGCAGACCAGAAGTTTCCATTCTGCAGTGATACATTAATTTTCTATTTATGAACAGAATCTACTACTATACCAGCCTATCAAGGGGCTGCCTATTTATATCACTTCAAGATATTCAGTAGTTATACAAAGGATTGGCATCCATTAGTTGTTATCAAATATAAGGAAACCTTTACTGGAAGCGCAAACACAAAGAAAGGCTGAGAAGTCTGTGAATGAAGATGCAATCACCACTGCTCCTGTCTTCTCCTCACTAGCAGAAATCCTAGAGATGACCATTTCAAACTAGCTGCAGGCCAAGTTCCCACGTTTCTGAACCCTCAGAGCAACACGCAGCGTGCCACCTGGGCCGTCACTACCAGCACTGCGCAGGCGTCGCATGCTTGCCGAGTGCCAACTGGAACAGAGAAACCCCTTCATGGGTGTGCTGGAGATCCCCAGCTATACAGCAGGGACCCTCTTTAATGGCATAATCCAAAGGCTTCTGACAACAGCAGAAATAGTCGTGCTGCCGCTCGCAATGCTCAGGTGGACCTTGAAAGTCCAGTCAGAGCAGGAAGATCGGGGCTCATCCCAGGAGAGGTCTCAATCCCAGGCGCAGCCCCACGGCCCTCCTGCCTCCCCCTGCCACATGCTGCAGCGTGTTCTGGACTGCAGCCTGGGACCGTGGGAGAAGAGAACATCCCACAACTCAGCGCAGAGGGGAAAAAAAAAAAAAAAAAAAAACTTCCCATGAAACAATGACTGAATTCTTCAGCTCCCGGGAACTTTTATGTAAGACATGAAATCTCTGCAGAAAATTAATTACGCACCTCTTTTTCCACTATAAACAGCTATATTCTTGCTCGCTTTCTTCCTCGTCTCTTCTCCCCACAGATGCTTTGTTTCAAGAAGTCTCCATCAGATGATGATAAACATTATACAAGAGATTCTAATGGCTAGCAAACAAGGGCAAGGGTAGGTAGATTAAGGAGATTTAATGAAAGGTCTAGAGTTGAAATTGAGACATTTAAGATTGGAGGGAATTCGCTTCATTGTTCCTGTGAACGGTCACCCGATGGAGTTTCCAGTCCCTGACTGATGGCCCATGCTGCATAAATCACCAGCACCACCCAGGGCCACCTGTGAGTGTCAGCTTAACCTATTGTATGAATAATTAAAAATACAACTTTTTGGAATGGTTGAGAGCACACTTCTAGCACAACCATTCTTGTCAACATTGACTTGCAGCAACACTAACAGCATTTTGACTAGTCACAACGATTCCCACAAAAGCAAGCCTGGTCAGCTGAAGACTGCTTCAAAAATAAATGGCCTTGTAAATCCCAGTATAGTTCAGCAGCTGGGTCTGTTTATAAGAACGTTTATTTGTCTTTCTTACAGCACTCAGCCAGTTCCCCTGTCAGCCGTGCTGTGACTGCCATCTGCCCCCTCTTCTCCAATACTCCCACTCTTCAATCATTCTGGGCAAGTGTGAAAAGCCAACTTGCATCACTCACTGGGGGTTTCAACCCCTAGATGCAAACTGCCCCTATCCTGCCTGCATTCTGCATGGAAAAATCCCTCCCCACATCTTGCCATAAGACGAGTAGTCAGCCTGACCTATCATCTGCCAGTCCCGTTGTGCCCACGGGGTCCTTTAAGCACAGGAGCTGCACCCATAAAGAAAAGGGCAGAGAAGCGAAGCCCCAGTCCATGTGCAGTCCCAGCAGACACGGCTGCTCCAGCTGCAGCTCCTTCATGCCACCAGCAGCAGGAGCCGCTGTCCCTTGCCCTTGTCCCCATGTGGTGCCAGGCACAGGGGCTCTCACCCAGCAGGGCTCTCAAAAGCTCTGAGATCTCAGTGATCATCTCCATACAACGGAAAGCTAAACAGTTCGTTCACTTCAGAGGAGAGCTCCCATGCCAGGACATCACAGCACTGACTCAAGAAGGGTGAGGAATACGGACTGAAACTTTCTGTTGCATCCTCCAGGCCCTTTCCGCAAGCTCTGAGCCACAGGATGCCCCGCGTCCTCGAGTGCTGTGACTGGGAAACGTCTGAGTGAATCTGCTCACTAGCAGTGCCACCAGCACTACCAAAAAGCGGATTCTTTGGGTATCCATGTGCAGGTAACAGCCTGAATCGACCTCCGTTATCATCAGTTTGTTATTTTCTCAGAAGGAAGTCCCAAAGACACCTCTCCAACTTCCCCCTTACTATTGCTATATTCTGCATACTTCATACTGAACAGCTCACGGCAAAAGGGGTAGAACCCCAGGTTGGAGGGAGAGGGAAGAGGCTCCCTGGGTGGAAGAAAGCAGGTTCTGGAGAAAACAACCTAAAACAAACCCATTTTATTTTGAATTCTACCTGCACAGCCTGTGAGGAGGCACCCAGAAGCCCTAGCTACATAACCGCTCCTCAACTTGAAGGGCACACGCCAGGCACCTGGAGAGAAACACACTGCCCAACTGCAAAGTGATGCTGATAAGATTGCAATATTGTGGGCTATTTTTTTTTCCCTCCCACCCCCTCCATCACCTTTGATGGAACTGGAGCAGTCGTTTGCTACATAACCCCAAGGGAAGCTTTCCCTAAAACAGGGAGCTGCTGTTGCAACTAGCCCTGCTATTTGACCGGAGGTTCTGGTGACCGCTTGGGCCAAGCCCATGGGCACACTGACAAGGCAGTGGGGAACAGCAGGTGCTGTCCCCTGGCCTGTGGTTTGCAGCCACCACCCAGCTTGTTTTTAGAAGGGCTCACGCCCAGCTCCACTGAATCCACACCCTCCAGGACCAGGAGCTGCGGTCAGTTCCCACCAGCCCTGACTGGGAACAATGAAGGCCAAGCAGGTTGCTGAGGGGCAGCAGCCCGGAAAGGGCAGCTGCTCCCGCTGCAAAGGAGGGAGGTGGAGGCAGGAGACAGGACGCGGAGCAGACGAGAAGGTGGGTCGAACAGGGCAGCCTGGATCCCAGCAAGAAGGAGCAAGATCTGAGTAAATGAAGGGTCAAACCCTACGGAAAGGGCATCTACATAAAAATACCACTTTAAAACTGCATGTGGTGGGCAGTTAACTAGAAGAATTCACCTCATTATCATTTTTGGCATAGTGGCTTGTAGGTGTGGACACTAAACACAAACAAACACAGACAAAAAGAATGAAATATTGGTAGTAGAGAAAGAAGAGAAAGAAGAAAAATGCGTAAGAAAAAAGGGGTCAGAAAGGTGTATTATAGTAAAAAGGTTGAACCCCACAGCTGTTTACAACAGAACACAAAATAAATCACACTGTGTCAGGAAACAAAAATCTCTTGCTTTCTATTGCTGGACTATTCAGCGTTTTCTACATGTCACCATTGCTAAGCCTGCTGACCTGCTCAGCTCTGCATTTAGGAACATGCAGACCTTTCCCTGCACTGCAGAAAAGGTGGTTTATTTACAAGGGAGGTGAATAGAAGACAAGATTCTTGGCCATCTTTGATGTCTAAAACCTTGGAATTGCCCCAGAAAAAGCATGTGTGATGTGAACAAGAACATCTTTTTAGAGGACGGAGAAAATCTCTAATCTCCTTATCCTTGCTTGCTCACTAGCCTCTCTCCCTAGTGATGACAGTCTTTTAGACAGCCTTCTCAGCAGGTCACATAATTCAGGTAAAGGGTCTAGATTTGATCTTTCAATATTATTTGTACAGCAGCAAAAGCTAAATGTAGCTAAAAGCTAAATGTAGCAGCAAA